ATCCAGTGAGGCCTGCGGATAAATCAGCCGTGACGTACTGTTACGACTCCGGCGATGCGTGAGCGCCACCCGTGGCTGCACTACCACCGAGATCACTCTGGCCTTGAATTGCGCCGACTGCCTTCTGCTGCGACAGCACCGACCAGGGCTCATGAATACCGGCCGCGGTCAGCTTCATTGACTCCGGCCTGGTATAACAAGCATTGTTTTCTGCGGTACCTTCGGTTAATTTGGTGATTTGGTGATTTGGATTACAGCCCTTTCCGCCAGACATGGCCACTCCTGAGCTATGGGATGAGGGAGAATGGAAAATGGTGGGGATAGGACTACATACACCTGGAGGTCCATCCGCTGAGACTAAGCCTGCACAGGGACCCCCTGGAAGAGAGGGAGAATGTTCGGCGCTCGGACGAGGGACCTCCACCAGCGGGTGCTTCGGCCCACTCGCGGCTGGCGCATGCAGCCTGCCCCGGGCAAGCGGGCCGACGCAAGGATGCGGTATGAAGCGGGGAGATGATAAAGGGCGCATGTGCGGGGCCTTTGGACGCGTGCCCCGGAGGCCGTAGTGGCCGTGAAGACTGTGGACCGGTTTGCAGGCCGTGATAGGCTGTGGTGACCCCGGATAACGTTATGCGCTGTGTTGACCCCCGGAGGCTGAGATGCACTGTGGTCAACCCCGTATAACGTTGTGCACTGTGGTGCCCTCCCCCTCCCCCTCCCCCCCCCCCCCCCCGGACACCTATCTCCTGCTTAATCCGCCTAGTTTGATCCAGGGGTTTTGGAGATGAACAGTTCGGTTGTCACGGTAGACTTTCTCAAGCATGATAGATACCTTCTGTGGTTATATATGTAGCCAGTGTGGCAAGGATGTCAGGCCTGAATGAAACGCAAGTGGTACGGTGGGGTTGACCTGAAGTCAGCGTGAGTGCGGAGAATTGCAACAGTCATGCCGTCTGTAATTAGCAGCGTTGTCTTTGGCATTGTTTGCTGACCATAATTACTATGCCGGTCAAATGAGACTTTTTGATAAATGATGCGAAGTAAAAAAAAAATACAAATTGTCGTTCGTCAAAACGGAGTGGGCCAAACTCGTTGGAAAATACAAATCTGGATGGATGTTATGACGATGGAACCAATATGCTTATATCTACCAATACCTTATTCATCAGCCATATATGTAGAGTGTAAAGTTGTGGAGAGCACGTGTTCCTCTTTTGGTGAACGGCCTCTGAATGAGCCCCTTTCAAATGAGACAGCCTATCCCCTCCTGGGCCAATCTGTATTACATGGTAGAAAAAGTTGTTTTTATGTTGTTTCTTGTTGCTGCATGCAGTGGGATGCATCGCCAGCAAACTGAATGCATTACAATATTTTACAAAGTATGGTCCATGCTATTTTGTCATTCGTGGTGATTTCGATATCACCTAGTGTCTGTTTTTGTAATGTTTCCACCTCAGTTTCAGTTGCTCAACTAAGAATTACGGATCTGCAAGGCACTCCAAATGTCGACCTGTTTTTTTTTTGGGGGGGGGCAATAAGTCATGACGCAGTCACTCATTGACGGTAAATCAGTCGATGACATAATAATCGGCGTATCGCATCTCTAAGACAACATACTTCATGCACAGGTGATACAATATGCATCGCCCCACATCTTGGAAGGAAGCTCGCGCCTCCCCGAAATCCTTCGCTAACAAGCGCCAAACGTTTTGCGGCATATGCGACACATGTACTTTCCCACCACTCAGTAAAGCATATGAATTAGTTTAGTTCTGCCATGAGGCCTTGCGTGCGCCATTGAGTCTTCACGACGCACTCAGCTGCTGAGGCCATATGGCGGCGGCTGCCTATCCCCTAGCAGAAACGACCGGCGCGGCGGGGAATCGAACCTCATACGTGTGGTTTTCCATAGGCGCAGCTTAACCACTATACTGTCGGTAGAATATCTACGAGACCTTAAACACGCATTTCCATCGATCGCCGGAATTTTCACGACATTCAGAGAAATTGTTGCCCTCGCCCAAAGACATGTACACGATCGCATCCGGGAGTACACTGAAATATAGGGGGAGCTGCTGCGCGTCAGCTGAAAGAGACTCAAGACTGTCACTCATGGCACATATTTAAAGTAAATCGCCCTGATACTGCTAACATATTGTAGAACTTAACCACATCTTCCTTAATGCATGCTACTGCTATTCGTTGTGCGATTTTCATTCGTGACAGGAGCATACCGTCAACTGAAAGGCTGAAATAGAAATTCGACATGTGTCTCCTCCATCCATGCAACAGCAAAGAGGTAAAACTGATCTTCTGAAATGTCAGAATACATTTGCATCTCCAAATAACCTTTAACATGTCCTGGAATATCCCTTTGCCATTAGCTCGTGCCTGTGATGTGCATTTCGCTTCAGTGTTTTTTTTTATCTTGGACATGTTTGACCGCAGGCCGAAATGCTCTACAAATTCACGCGCCAACAGTTATTCGGACAAGATTACGACTGGAGTTTGTAGAAACTGTTTCCGACTGCACCTGTTACCGTGAAAGTTTTCCAACCACTCAGAATAGCAACTAGTGACAAATGTCGTTTGTGGTAGAGTGATACATTTCCGAAAAAAAGTTTATATGTCGATAGCGACAATGGTCGTAGACGGTGGCTCCTTACCGCGGCTGGACTGAATCAACTCCATCATTGTATCCTTACCATCTTCTTATCTGGTGCTTGCCATGACTCAGGTATAGTAGGCGGAATGATTTTGAGTTTATCTTCATGTTACGCCACACAACGGCATTTGTAATATATAACACCTCAACAGGGATGGTAAAACGATTTTCCAGAACCCAGATCACAGTTGTAAATTCTACTATTAAACTTAAGTTTCAGGCAGAAATTTCCCAGCCCGGCCGAAATGTGGTGCGCTTTTGACCAAATTCTGCCTTGTGACGAGACATGGAAAAAAATAAACCATCGCTCCCGCCATACTTGGGAACTAGTGTGGTTTCGATGACATCATGCCAGTGATCTCACCAGCATGCAGGACGAAGCACGCAACCGATTCCCCTCAAGAATCTTGAAAGTTGCCCGATGCTAACTGATATCATACCGAAACTCATTGTTTATCGTCTTTAATTCTGATGTTGTCAAATGTAACTTTGTCTAAATGGAATGTTTTCTATGTCATTTCAGTTCTCGGCATACGAGGCCAACATCTGATCTGACCTTGACCTAAAATCTCCTCGAACTCAGTCGGCCATTCAGTTGGGTAATATATAATACCACACGGGTCGGTAATGCAATTTTCCAGGGCCGAGGCCACTGTCAGGATTTCTGCCTTCCACCTCTGGTATTGGGCAAAAAATCCACAACAATAAAGGGCGTGGAAAATTATTCCGCTCAAGTGTGGCACGCTCTTTATTGAATGCTGCTGCGTGACGGAACATGGAGATAAATTGAATGTCATTCTTCCCACCCTACCTGGATTATGACATCGAAAAAGAAGATCATAAGGAGACAGTTCAGGAGTTATCCAGTCTCGCCGCAGCAAGAAGCCGTCATCTCCACCATCGTCGTTGTCAGCATGAAAACTTTTCGGAAATGCCCCATTTTCCCACGATTGACATTTATCCCCAAATACTATCTTGAGTAGTTGTAAGGATTCTCCAGTAACAACTGCGGTCCAAAACGAATTTTACGAATTTCTGAGATATTTTTTGTCCCGAAATCGTTTGCGCTTAAATTGCCCCAATATTTCGGCCCGTGGTCAAGAAATGTATTCCCAGATAAAAAAGCGCTGAGGAAAAATGTGATACCATACGCACGAACTGATACCAAAAGCAAAACAGGCATGTAAAGTGCTGCGTGTGCATGGCAAACGGGTAGTTCTGCATTGGGTTAAAAGCATGCTACGCTTGGGCTGGAATAATTATGGAGGCCTTTGGTCGCTAGGACTGCTGCCCGGTCTGGGGCAGTCATTGCAGCAGCAGCCTCGGCCCCGCAAAAGTTATTTCACCGGCCCCATGTGGCATTCTATGACAGCGGGGGCAGAACCGAACTTCGGAACGACTACTTAGATTTCCGATCCCGCCCGTCGGCTGCGTGGGGTTCGGAACGACGCGTATAGCAATCCAAAACAAACGAGCTCGAGTCCGCGGCAGGTGCGCTGTTTGGTCTGATGTACACAGTGGTTGGCTGACAAGTGACCGATCAGAGGCCATTCCGTATGACACAACATTGCACGATACTTAACACCCTATGGGCTCCTACCTGGTTTATATGCCGGCTATAAATCAAAACAGCCTAGGTGATGAGTTCAGGACGCGGGCAGCAAGCCCTATTCAGCAACTGCTCTGAATTAAATTTCAATAGCAAACCTCTCCAAATAAACTAGCAGGAATTAGGTTTTCAAATGCCCTGAAATGAACACGGCTACCACAATCGCTCATGCATGGTGGTGTGAACTATGACGTAATCTGTACGCTAGATCTGAAAAGTTATGCAGCTGTCATGGTGCTGCCCAACTTCCCAGTGTGACCACAATCGCAATTTTTCTTTGAGATGGTGGACAGCAACTGCTGGGAATTACACGCTATACACGCTATAAAGGACGTCCGTAGGTACTGGGATCAACGTCTGCGCGACGGACGCTGCTCAGGGTGGTTTAGGGGATCTCGTTAAGTGCCTACCAGGTGGACATCAGATCAGGCAAATCTCTCACTAAACGAATTGGTGTCCCGAAGGCGTGTTATTCCTTTCTCCATCTTGTCTGCGTTGGACCGTGTAAAAATATGCCATGGGCAGCATTTGTGCGCAACATACCATAGGACAATTTGCATTTTTGGCAGAGCAGAGGGGATGAAAGCTGCCACAGGTACTTGGAAAATGTGTTTTTTTACGCCTGGTTTATCCCTCTAGTTCAAACCTTGTCTCAAACAGTTCGGGTTTGTCTTTGCATTGACGTTTTCATGTATTGCCTACTTTCTTGGAGTGCTTGGATTTTCATGCGCATGCTTTCTTAGTTTGGGTGCTGGCTGTTACATTGAGGGAGAAGGAGAGCAGGGCCAGCTGCAGGCTGGGGACAGAAGACATCTCAACTGAATAGGATCTTACACCCCGTGTCGAACAACGATCTGTTCTGGACAAAATTACGGGTGTATCACCATGTTAAGGAGGAAAATCCCAGCCATTGATAGCAGAGGACGGATGACATGCGTTTTCCTAGACTATGCACGCCTGTCAGTTCGTAAACAGGCAATCTGCTCACGTGATGTTCTGCGCTTGCAACACTGCAATGCGCTCTCCCCGGCACCGCTCTCTCGAGCTTCCGCCAGCGGCAAACAAACGCGTTGCCGAGACCGTACGGTGACGTCACTGGTCGATGGTGGGCGGGGCTGTACAGTCTTGGGGCTCTGCGGTCCGTGCAGCGTGGCGCCGGCGCGCGCGAAGCCTGGCAAGGGGCCCGAGTGCCGGTGAGGTGGTATCAGCGGAAGGCGCTGCTTCAACCGTTTTATCTCACTGCAAGCTGGCTAACTGGCCTTGTTCTTGGGCCTGTTCGGAGCTGTAGGCCTGCTTCAAGCGGTACGTACGATGGCTGTGGTTCCGTTTGTTATGCCAGAGCAGCGCAACGATGGCAGCGGTGCTGTTAGACAGCTGTTGTCCGCCGCTGTGGCGATAAGTGTCGCACCCGCCGGTAGTTTGTGATATCATACAGTGGACTTACGTCATCACTTGGGTGGTCAAGCCCGTTTCCGATTGGTTCGAACTCGGGATGACGTCACCGTCGTGACGTCAGACCCTGGTAGTTCCGCCCCAGTCATCGCCGTAGCGAACTGTCCTGAGAAACACAAGTTTGGAAAGGAGAGAGGGGCATAGAGCGGTCAAATCTGCGTAGAAAATCACGTGCCGTTCGCGGAAAACCGGATGGTGTATGTCGTCATGTGTCACTTCGGCCTGGTCGTGGCCAAGCAATGCCAGAACTGTTATTTGTTTATATGCGCGAACGCATGGTGTGAAGCCGAGGCGTGTGCGTTTCGCTGACAGGCACGATAATTCCGATGTCTCATGCTTCCCAAGAGTCTGGTCACTATGCCGCTTGCGATCATACCGTGTGGCAATGCTAGCATGCCGTTAGTGCTCCTGCAAACTCAATTTCTGGCGCGGACCTGACATGTTTTTTCTATTTACCTGCCATGTTTGGAGAGATATTCATCATACTGCGTTGCTGATGCACTTCCATACGCTGGTTCTTCGCGCGTGGCTTCGTGACATACTGGCATCCCAGTAATATACAGCATCAACCCCATCACTGACATATTGTGAAATGTAGGTAGGTTTTCTCACTGCCGTATCTTGTCAGTGTTGTTGCCGCACCCCATGCACTGGTGAGTTGGGGATCAGCTGCTTTCTTTCTGATGTACGATATAAGTGGTGTTGTTGCACCCCATGCACTGGTAAGTTGTAGGTCAGATGCTTTGTTTCAGATATACGATGTAAGTAATGTTGTTGCACCCTATGCACTAGCAAGTTGTAGGTCAGCTGGTTTGCAGCAACACCACTGATACACGATATCAGTGGTGTCGCTGCAGCCCATGCACTGGCAAGGTGTAGGCTGTCGCTTTGTTGCTGGTGCGCGTTGTTGGTGGTGTTGTTGCGTCATTGGGACTTTAGAACGCCCTCAGCTGCTGAGGCTATATGGCGTCGCCTGTCTCTCATCCTGGCAGGAAGGGCGGGCACCGCGGAGAATCGAACCCCATATCTCTGGTTTCTCAGACGTGCCATGGTTAAGCATTAATTACCACACTATCGGCACCCAAATGGTATTGCTACAGCCCATGCACTAGCAAGTTGTAGGTCAGCTGCTTTGTTACTGATATACGATATCAGTGATGCTGCTACAGCCCATGCACTATCAAGCTGTAGGTCGGCTGCTTTGTTACTGATATACGATATGAGTGATGCTGCTACAGCCCATGCACTGGCAAGCTATGGATGATTGGATCAGGTGCCTCACTGTCGTGATGTCCAAATATATCCTGTATCGTGACTGCCTTGCTATTGAAAGACGCTATTACCAACCGTCCGCTGTGAATACCTGTAACTCTCAGGACAAATATTGGCTTTTGATAAACTCTGTGAATGTCGTGCTGCGTCACTACGCCGTCTGCTCGAAGCAAGCCCGCCTCACCCTCCGAAGGATCTTCAGCCGTCTGATGTGCCGTCAAGCCTCTCGTCCTGTCCTTAGTTCTGACTCGATTGGATTAAATGGAACGAGTCAGCCACAACAGGGCCTTCCAAGACTTTTGAAGAGACCCGATGTAAGTCAGACATGAAATAAAAAAATCCACGAACCGCAATGCATTCTTTCGACCAACACGGATGGTAGCTGTAATTATGGATGGTGCGACGTCAGAACCGGCTCGCTCCCATCGGCTGGTATGACGTCAGAGACCGGCTCGCTGCCATCCACGGGTATGACGTCAGAGACCGGTTCGCTGCCATCCGCCGTTTGTCTGCGGGACGATCTGACTGGCCTTGTGTCGCACCTCACGTAACTGGGCAGTGTGTAGGGCTTAAGCCCAACCCAGCTGACATTTGTACCCAGCCAACTCTAGCCATATTCAGCTCAAGTGGAACAGTCTCGTCTCTCTCGTCAGTCTCTCGTCACGGTCCATCACGTCGATCTTCACTTTCCAATATTGCTGTCCGGTTTGGCGCAAACCTTTTTGTTGCCGTGGTGGCCGCTTCTAAAGCTGAACAGCACTGAACAAAAGCTTCAGCGCTTATACCCCGCTAACGTCCGAACGGGCTTGACGCCGGGCGCGGGAGGCGTCATGTACCGCGCTCACTGTTGGTGTCATGTGACTACTGTAGTGTGCTTTGAGTGTGGGGGAGGAAGTTTGTTTGGAACGTGGGTGAGACTGCCGCCCAGAACCTAAACGGGCGTGCGTGCGCGCTCCACTTCCCACTTGTCCCAACTTCAAGCGTCGGTGCCAGAGCCTGCTAAGCATGGCTTGTGTTAGGCCTTGACTTGGCTACCCCAACATAACAATGCCAGTTCAACGGCTATAGTTGCTGACAGATTTTTGCGTGCCTTGGAAAGCCGCAGCACGGCCACCCTGCCCGTGTATGCCGAGCTTGGTCAGCGAAAAAGCCAGCTGTCAATGGTCAAAAAGGGTTTCAAAGTGAGTGTTGAGCCGCGATCCCAGCGACTGTCACATGTTGACCAGTGCAGACGCTGCACCAACTGGGCTTCGGGAACAGGCTTTGTTTGTTGGGCTTAAAAATGTTAAAATAAATATGATCATATTAAGAGGCAAAAATAACGTATGTAAGCCGCTGGACTTTGCCAGATATAATGATTAAACTTTAAACTTCGTTTTGAAATATCCTAGATACTAAAATGATGTCAATTTATAACGAGCGTTTCATATGCAGATACACATACAGTCCTTCATGAAGGCCATCTTCAAAAGGCTTTTGGTTTTCACAATGTCTCGTTCGAATCTGAACGTGGGGAATGTGTGTGCATGTGCATGCGGGCGGTGGGCGCCATCCTCACAAAATACACCCACCCGCAGTAACCCTAGCGTTCTGTAGCATACCTATCATAATCATATGAAGTCCGGCCTGTTCTGGAAGAGCATGCGTCAGTCTGGCCAAGACTGCACGTCCGAGAGATGTCGTCTCAGGTGGCGACTTAAGGGAGACGCGGAAGCCGCAGCGACCCGGGCGGCGACGCGTTGTAGAGTGTCGAACCCCTGCAGCGGAAACGTCTCCTGCCCATCCCGGTGTGGGACCGGGTGACTGTGCGGTCAGCTACCACACCTTTGAGAGTTGTACGGCTGCTCTGGCTTTGAAAATGGTCTCTGATCTCATGGTGACAAAAAGAGCACTCATTGTTGTAGTTGTCGTCATGCAACTTATGAAACAGCTGACTCATGGTGAAACACTAAACACATGGTGGATATTTTGGCATTCGTTGTAAAATGCTAACTGGTATGTATTGAACGAAAAAGTTGGAAAGTGACGATGTAAGCGTGTGGCCAAATGGCTACTAGTAAAATGCAGCTTGCTCTAATGGCGAAAAAGAAAATGCTACAAGCCGAAACAGCGGCGACAGCAAAAAAAGTTAACGGGTGTATGCAACCATTTTGTGCTTTTCACTTGTTGCTACATCAGACACGTACGGTTTGATCAGTAATACAAGTTTTCTCGAAATCCCTCTGGATATCTGATTGATATCCTTGTTATGTTTTGGCGGTGTTGCACTGTCACTACTAAGTGCTATTATCAGCCTTAAGTGGTCCTGAGGTTTCATCAGAGTATGCTTTTGAAATATGTCCCAAAAGTGGGACGCTCCCTGTAATGCGTGCAAAGGACGCACAGCAAACGTCATCCACTTTTGATACGATAACATTGCACTTCAAGTCATCACGATGGGGTGATGTTGTGCTTTTTTACCGCACACGTCACTTGTTCGGTGTGCATGCAACTGCAAATGTTTCGCCTTTGGTTCGTGTGTCGAATTACACCTGGCTGTCACGTACCACAAAGGCAGCATGTGACGTGACGAACATTAGCACACGCTCAGGTGGGGGTCGGCGAACGGCGAGGCGTAGCCGCGCCAAATTTGGCATAGCTATAGACAATTGAATAGCGGATCGTGTGCTGTCAAAAAACTAGATGTACCTTGTAAAGTTGCTGACCTACGGTAGGTCAAAGTCAGGCCATGAATTCATCGAAGTCAACGTTAAGGAAATCGTTTAATCTGGTGGAACAACGGAGTGTTGGGCAAAGCCATACATTTCTGAGACACGTTCTTAGACAACACAACAATTGAATGACCAAACTCCATTGACCTAGGGTCAGGTATGAGGGTTAGACCAAGGTCAAAACCGACCTGTTTTGCCTTAGGGCTGGCTGTATGGGGTAGTTCCTGGTGCTCATTTCGGATTTATTGATAACAGAAACTGTATCAAACATCGTCCATGGACTTCTTAAAGGTCAGAATAGGTCACTGACCTAAAATGACGTCACTTATTAACATTCCGTTTTTAGGAACATACTATCTGGCGTAGTCTTCGTCGCTTATTATTCAAATGCAAAATTCAAAGCAGTCCTCTATGATTTTGGTCACCACGACCTCCAAAGGTCAAACAAGGTCAAAGAACTTGAAGTGAGCGCGTGAACTTCTGCTTAGAACATGTATCTAGGTTCTGCGGACACTTAAGAGACCAACCTGGAGTTTGTCCTCGTTTCACCTTATTTGACCCGAAGGTCATGACCTAGGAACCTCAAACTTTGATTAAGTGAGTTACGTGCAGTTCAACATATCCTGTGAATTTGGTGGGTCTTATTCTCTTAGTTCCTGAGATCCCAGGGGGCGGGTCAAAGTGAACCCCCACCCAAGCGATGAGTATCTAACCGACCATCCGGACGCGTGTCAAGCGGTAACGTAGTGAATCGGGTCTTCGGCATAGCATTGAGGGTGAGGGCATTGCTGATGTGGTGCTCTTTGGTTATTACGGCGGCCATCGCGTGTGTCTGTGCGCACATTTTCCAATGAGAAGACGGGCATTGCAAGGACATCAAATTCATCCAGGATAAATGGGCTGACAATACGAATTATTTTCAATTCGTTACTTGGCACTGGCGCCGTGGTAAAAACGCGTGGAGGCAATAGATTCCGTGATATCTAAAATGCGGTCTGGTAGCCTCTCAGTTTCCCTGTCGTCTGATTAATGCAAACCCCAGGCATACGCGAATGCATGGGAGAGGTATGCAATAGCTACCCCTAAAGAAAGGAACATTTGGGCGAATCTTTTGTTTTACCTCACTAAAGTGCCATTTAAACGCCTTCAAAACATTTTACCAAGAACGTTTTGGTAATTTTCATTTAAAGTCTTTTCAGATCTTTTTTGCTTGTCCGTGGCAATAATGAATGATGCTCGCAGGTCGGCGGATGGTGCAAAATGATGAAATGCTTCCGTGTAATTAGGCAGCTTGCATCTGCATTTGCTGCCCAGAGTAACACATTCGACATTATTCAAAATCACTTGCTGTTCACGACGGTACGAGTCTAGGGCATCGTATTAAGTGTTTTAGTCGCTAATGTATCGACGTTTCGGATCTTCCTCCCCCCCCCCCCCCAACTAGATAGCCGGATCCGCCACTGACCCAGACGTGCATTTATTTTTAATTCTGTTGTCAAAGGTCACGGTGCTACTCTCTGAATAAAGCTGTGTCCAAGCAGCACATGGTGGGCATAGTGTACCGTAAGCTCAAACTTCAGGTCGGTGGACCACATGAGGGCGTCCATAAATGGCGTTTTGCGTGAAGGTTGGAGGTTGTTGGAGCGTTAGCCAAGCGCGCCAAGAGGTAGGAGGTTAGGGCGGCACAAAGTTACGCTCAGGCAAACTCTGGGAGCTTTATTAGGGGTCCAGGCACATTTCTGCGCTCAGGTTGGCGTGCACCTGATGATTGACCAGAACGATTTTGGGCGGCGTAACCATGGGCATAGGAACGCTCCAAAAGGTGGGTGTGGGGCACGTTCCGGACACATTTTCTGGGGAAGCGAGCCCGGCGACCGGGAGGGGGAGGGGAGATGGACGAATCTGCCCGCTCTTAAGCCATCAAATGTTGTTGGGGATAAGTACATATCCTGACTGCTACGTCATATGCATCTACTGCTTCTTCTCCCGGTGCACAGTTTTATATGTAAGACTTATTCATGCCACTGGAGAAACACACTATGCAGTTTCAGAAAATTTGTCACGCGCCTTGGCATCATTGCCACTTGCAGAACAAAATTCCACAAGTGTGAAAACATTTTGGATCGCTGAGGGGAGGGACGTAGCCAAATCCATGGTAAGGAGTGCACATGTCTGACAAAGTGTCCCCCTGAAAGTCTCACGCTCCCGGCACCCGCCGCCTGATGCCATTTGCAGGTGCCAACGCCGTTCGGCTCTGCGGAAACTGCATCCCGCTCATAGCTCTTCTTGCTCCTAACATCGTAAGGCGTGCAGGCTTAAAGTTTTTACGTAACTGTTTCACGGGTAGCTTTTGCAAAAGAATGGACGTTCTCATACAAACATTGGTTGGGCTTTTATGTTTTTGACGTAATTGTAATTCACGGTTTTGAGCACTCGTGAGGCAGCTTATCTTTTACCGGGTGACGAGCCCCGTGGGTAGAACACTAGGGGCATATTATTGTACCGGACCAAGGGGGGGGGGGGGCTGAGAGGTCATTCCGTCGCAGCGCGGGTGCCTACCAGCTGCCATCCTGGCGATGAGGAGCGGAGTACCCTGGTCGGATCCGTATCCGATCAACGCATTTATCTATCCATTCTCCCGCTTTTTCTACAAGGAATGAGGTTTTTACTGCTATCTTGCTTACACGTCCATCTTAAACTGCATTGTACCTTCCAGGCGAATAGCGTGAAAATGGTGCCTGTAGGGAACGCTCGCAAACTTGTGGTCATTTCAAAAAACGCGTTGAGCTCTCAGCCAGACAACGTAATAATGGCAATTCTACGATGGTTGCATGAGACACCGGCAAGATATTAGGTGCGTATCTCTTTCTGAAATACCGCATTGCGCCTACGACATTACGCCACTGCGCCATCCTAAACATCACGAACCTATTTGGAAGGCATTGAAAGCGGGCAGCCAAAGGAACCAAGAAAATAAACAAACAGTGCAGCTTTAAGTACCAAGGGGTGCTAGAGAAGCCCCCCAAAATAGCTCCTCGCCCACTGTTCATGGTAATGAATAATGCTACTTACAATATGAAGCTTTGTTGCCCTATGCGCATGGGTCAAGATCTGGTAGCTTTGGTAGTTCGGTATGTATGCTTAAGATGGCACAAAAGTACCATAAATTTTGAGCAATTCCAAAAAAGTGGGGTGCGGTACTACAATTACCTTTACCACTAGGGGGTGAAGGGGTTTGCAAATTATTACTAATGGGCACCGTAATTTTTGGAAACCCTGTGACGAATACGAGCCAAGAATTCATCACTTTGTCGATGTAACGGCTTTGGAGACGCATCCCTAAACGGCTGGGTGATTCGCGTCCTTAGCCTCCGCTACACGAGACTGATCCGGACCTGGTCTCACTGTCTCGACTCGCTGCTGGTGCCGCCTTTGGTGGCAGTTACTTAACCTCTCCCCTCCCCTCCCAATGTGTTGGCCCACCGCTGTGGAACGCAAGCCGACACCGAATGGTGGCCACGGCGCCAGGGGCCAGTCAGGTGACGACCGACAGCTGACCAGTGGCGAGCCTCTGAGCGCGCCGCTGGCGGTCTGCAGCGGGTCACGAGTGGGGCCCGCTCAGCCGCATGGCAGCCGTGGGTTCACGCAAACCGTCTCGTCCGCCCGCAGACGCTGCCTGACTGCGCCTCTGCCGGCCGTCCGGCCGCGCCCGCCGCTGCCGGGCTGTTGGACGTGCCCCGCACCCGATAGGCCGATGCCCCGGTATGGGGCAGTGCTGCGGCCGGTGCTGCGCCGCTGAGCCCGAGTGTGACTGCTGCGGCTGGCGTCGGCGCGCCATGGGCTACTCGGGCGCAGCGCTGCTGGCCTCGGCCACGGTGCCTGCCGGCGAGGACGAGAGCGGCCGGCGGACTCTGGTGAGTCCAGCCGGCTGACAGCCGAGTCTGGCGTACGGAGCTCCCGTCTCTCCGCCCGTGTGGCAGAGCGAGTCCGGAGTTGCCCTGATGAGTTCGCTCAAGCCGCCAGGTGAAAGCGCTGTTTGAACCCTGGAATCGTTGGTCAGTTACACCGGTTGTGACTCGCTGGTGTCGTTACTCAGAATGAGGGTCACGTAACATGCGCCCAGTGGAGAGAGCGAGGGGAGAGAGAAAAAGGGGGGAGAGAGCGAGAGATAAGTGTGAGCAAGAGAGAGCGAAAGAAAGAGAGAACGAGAGAGAGAGAGAACGAGAGAGAGAGAGAACGAGAGAGAGAGAACGAGAGAGAGAGAGAACGAGAGAGAGAGAGAGAGAGAGAGAGAGAGAGAGAGAGAGAGAGAGAGAGAGAGAGAGAGAGAGAGAGAGAGAGAGAGAGAGAGAGAGAGAGAGAGAGAGAGAGAGAGAGAGAGAGAGAGAGAGAGAGAGAGAGAGAGAAGAGAGAGAGAGAGAGAGAGAGAGAGAGAGAGAGAGAGAGAGAGAGAGAGAGAGAGAGAGAGAGAGAGAGAGAGAGAGAGAGAGAGAGAGAGAGAGAGAGAGAGAGAGAGAGAGAGAGAGTCGTATGCCTACAAATCCAGCCCGTACGTATGGAACAATGGGTCCGAAGTGCGGCCCATATGTAGCCAGTGGCCAACATCATAGCTTTGAACGTCAGAAATTGGCAGCGATAACCCGTCTGAGTCTTCTGTAATTCAGGGATGGTTTGTCGTTCTTCCTGAAGCTCGAAGGCTTCCCTTTCAACTGTCTAAATCATTCTACGTGGCGTTTTTACAAACTGACGTAGCCGTTTTGTCTGGGATTCCCGACGGTTGAATGCATGTCAGATACAATGATGACCGTGACTTTGGTCACTGTGCACTTGAGCTGGCCGAAATCTTCGGTGGTGATATTTTGTGAAATCGTGATCGTTTCTGTCATCTTACGGATGTTTTTTCGCCTTTCCCTACGAGGTCCTCGGAGGCCCTAAGATCTCGAATACTGATTACGCTGCAGGCGTGGAGAAAACGACTTCGGAAACATTTGGCAAACAGTATGAGATAAATGTGACGTAACAGTGGCTTTTGATGGGTCAAACCAGGTTCAGTTCAACATTCCCATAACTCTTCTTTGTTCTCACGAACCCAGCATGTTACGGGAATGCGGAAAACGGCATTGAAGAACTCTTGCGAGAGCCTGGGTCTGCTAGACATCCAAAGGCGTGACCTGTGATATCGCGTCAGATCAAATAGGTGAAGCTATTATGGCGTCGGCTCATCTGACTATATCAAGAACTAAACAAGCCACGTCAATGGAGAAGGCAATGCAAACAACAACCAGAACCGGAACCAAAACAATATTAATGTTCGCCAGCTTGATAAGTGTAAGACAGATGGACTGTAAACAACTTCTGGGAATGCATGTCATGCGGAAAGAGGTAAATGAGAAAACAAAATTACTGTTGGGCAAAATTTCACACGATGTTTCACCGACGTAAACTTGTGAAATAAGTCATACGTCATGAACAGCCGAGGTCATAAGCTTCAAATCTGTGGGCGCTAATAGTACGAATCGCTCAGATGATACACTTCAAATTTTTACCGCGCGCTTGGAAATATTTTAAACTCAACTAGTTGAAATTTCGGCACCCTTCTCGCAACCCTTGGAAAGCTGTTTCGGGAACACCGCAGGGATCCTCTGAAGCCATTTCTTGTAGGGTGGTTAATTCATGTTTAATTGCTTATTTCCTACCGCCGTAGCGCTCACAATACAATTATGTAATCCTGGTGTTTAGAAGTTGTTTTGCCGTGCAATATATGGTATATACATCCGCAGTATAGACATTGACTTTTGTGCGCTAAACATGTGACGTGTACCTCAAACATGTATGACGTGTACCTCAAACGCGGTCCCTCATCTGCCTTGACCATGACACGTGGTGTCAGTTTCGCGCTATTTGTCACTCACATAAGGTGATGTGTGTCATTATTTCAGGCTCTTCCCCTACACGAATGCCTACCATGGAAGCTTGCGAACTCGAAATGCATCTGTGTTCGTGGCTACATACCCGAAAAGCCTTACAGGTAAGGCTTTCGCATCCTTTTCGTCTCAGTCTGGGTTAAGCTGGTCATGATAATTTATCCCAAAATATCAATACGTGAGGTCGCCTCTGGCGCTGTAAAAAAACATAACCTGTGTGCACCCATTCGTAAATGTGAAGGCTGTTTGGTTTACATTCATGTCGTGAAGGTAGCCTGGCATTCTCTTTCGTACGATGTAAACATGAAACGCAAAAGGCACAGAAGTATACAAGCAAACTAGTCGAAACCTTGTGGCGAAAAATCGCTGCCCGTTGTGAGTGTTCAGCAATACTGTATGAGTGGCATATTGCCGCCATCCTATGCGCTGTAGTTTAACCGTGTCTCCACGGCATTCACATGTCCCCGGTTTTCTCCGTCCCCAAAAGGCACCCACAAGGTTGCCCGTGTCGGTGCGTGTCCGGGTAGTTACACCGGAAACATTCTTCAGATAAACTGCTGGTTTCAAAGCATGCGTGGGTAGTGACTGATGAGCAGAGTTTGTGTAGCAAAGTGGCCGGAAGGAACGTCGTCTAGCGGCAACATGTTATTCGGTCAAATGCAGTGGCCGTGGCAACACCTGTCATACCGTATCATCCGTCCTTGAATGCGTGTACACTCGCTGTCCGTTTACATCCGGTTGCGAGTAAAGAATTCGTGTCTGTGCGAAGGTAGATGTGATGAAAACGCCACCTCAGTTACCCGCTGTTACCTCACCGCCTAGAAAGCATTGCAGTTGTAACAATCGTCGCACGCTGTTATCGGCGCCTCTGTTATCGTGGCACTTGGGGACGAAGTTATCTATCTCCTACGTTGAACACTGAAGGGTATACGATTGTCTGGGAGTGGTGCAGCTGCTCCACGTCCAAAAATGGATCTGTCGTCGTGTTCATCGGTTTCGATCGCCTAGGCTGAGCTGCGTGATCCGTGGCGTGCCTCCACAGTCCCTCGGCGCTCACGTGAGTGCTCACTGATGTCACGTGATGCCTGCTAATGACGCAGGACAACATAGATTGTCGCGGTTTCCTCCAATTCTGTGAAACCAAGACGAATCCTACGATGATGCGTACTGGAAACGGCGCGAAAACGGCTTTGCCCATTATGCGGCATACACCGCCGTCCATGACCGGGGGTTCGACCTCGATAACAAACGTCCCACCCGGACGCGGCGGGACTCAGGGCTCCCGGGGCACTATGCCCAAAACACCGAGTCACCGTCGCTGTCGCTGGTGAAATTGTGGGCCGCGGAACAGCGCGGCACACTGTTGACACGCGGCACCAGGTCAGGGTGTCCCGACCCGTCGGTCGCTTTGTTACGGGTACCACTTTCGTCACGCTTGTGTTCGTCACGATTGTAGACAGGCATTTGTTCACTTTGCGAAAAAAGCGTCGCTAGTATCTGGTCATGAGCTTGCAATTTTTCGCGCATGACTGGAAACCACAATGTCCTTTGCATCGATGTAGTGAAACGTTACCTGCATTTGATGCTTGTTAGCTGTCAGTATCAAAAGTTCGATTGCGTTTTTTTGTCGAGCCGACCTCATTGCGTATAACGTTCTTCTTGTCCTCTTTATTCTCTTGAGGGCATGGCGGATTCAAGTGTGCAGGCTTGGATGTTAAGTTCGTGGGCCTCTTCTGGCTTCAGCTGCCTTCCAGCTGCATTAGCAAGCATAAAACTACTGTTGTGAGTTACATCACATCACTCAAAACCTGACAGAGCCACTGCCTTGGGCAATTTGTAAATAAAATGACACGCAAATATCTGACGTCATAAGATACGGCTTGCTAAAGCTAAGCTCGGACATACGCAATCGATCATGAATAAAATGTAATTCATCCTCCTTCAAATGGTGACTCTGGTTTGATTAGTGTGTCTCTGGTTCCAATAGCCCAAATTCGAAAAGACGGATCTTTCCGAAACCTCCCATTGGCGCTGGATAACTCTCGCTGCGAGACTGAATCACTGAAGGTCGGACAGCCGCATTGATGCAATGATGCCGGTGCCTCGGGCATGGCTCTTCACATCACAAGCCTTTATCCATGACATGACGAGCATTATCAAGCTTGTATTCCAGCGATTGTGCACGGTGTCCACTTCCACATTCTGGGAATCGAGTCATCATATCGTTTTCGTGGTCGGACGTCTGCTGCTGAGCCTCGTGAATGTCGCGCGACAGCTTCCGGTCATAAATTCATCGCATGCTAAAGCATGTTACTGTTCTTGCCATTGTTGCTATAAAATAGCAATTATACACATGGGTGTAACCACGTCCCTGGGATTAGCGGGGCCAATCAGAGTTGCATGGGTCAAACTGAAACCTGAGGAAGTAATCTAGCCTGAAAATCACGTTTTGAACGGGAAAACATAAAAACGTACATTTCGGAAGCAAAATTGGAGCGAACAAAAACGGACTTTAAAAAATCGGACGAACAGGAGCCAGCGCTTGGTTTCATCCATGGTCGTATGCCTCGATTTCCGCTCAGCACGTGACTACCTTTTTACAGCCGCCGTACATTAACTTAAGAAGACATACTACTCTTAAACGGAATGTTCTGCAGGGGTGACTTTGGGACGTAAGCTTCTCTAAGCACAGTTTTGCGAAGACCCTCAATGTATCACATCAGCAGATTAATCAAGATCAATGAGCTGGCATTGCTGAAAGGATTACGCGCGCCGGACAGTGTCGTGACATGGCCTAGACGCTGCTAGATTTTCTGATTTAGTGCCAGATACTTGCTGTACTGCAAAGTCCTGTAATTTTCTATGCTAAGATGGCCGGTACAGGAGCTCCTCTGCAAATAGTAGGTTCGCGGAACAACCAAGCTGTGATGGTTTTATTTTCGATTATTTGGTGCGTTCATTGCTCCGCGGCGCCCAGCATCATGATGGTCGAGATAGTCCCTGCCTAATGATGATTTTCGTTGGTGCCTGGAACCATACAGAACATATTTTAAAGATAACTCAAAAAGATTACCGCTCATTCAGGTCAGCGCTCAAAATCGGGCCGCTCGTAATATTGATTGAAGTCTCGTTGCGCCTTTGATTGAAGTTGCGCCTTCCACAACACCGCGCCGGGATCCGTATGCCTCACTGGGTTGCAGTGGAATCGCTTGATCATGGAACCAGCGCATCGAAGAAGACGTGCGCCGAAGAGCCCCTAACACGGCTGGTGTGCGTGCAAGACGGGACATTCGAGAATGGGCGATTTGGTCAAGAATGTGTAGTGGTGCACTAATCCGTCGTTCTGCGGAGATCCGAAGGTCGTCCTCTCCTGCAGAAAAGTAGACGGGTATGCGTATCGTACTCAATGGCGTGCTCGCTGGGGCCGCTGGGAGACGGCGGCAGCTCGTACCGGCTCGGCGGGTCTCGCGCCCCGCCATCTCATCTGCGCCTGATGTGCTCGCGGGGCCTGCGGCCTTCTCCTGGCTGAACCGTTACTGCACCTGATGCCAATCCGGTGCATTACCTGGTGCAATATCTCTGGCTGATCAGACTACCTGGTGCAATATCTCTGGCTGATCAGACCACCTGTTGGTCGCGACATGTGATGTCGCATCAAACGTTACAACCGACGCCGCTGTAACGCGCCTACTGGGGGACAACCTTCCCCGATGGGACCTGGTCGGAGGACACGGCTGGCCACCTGGCTGTGCCTCTCGGTCCGGGACCAGTTCAGAGGTCACGGCGGGTCACCTGGCTGCGTCGCTCGGTCCGGGGACCTGACCAGAGGTCACGGCTGGCCACCCCTGTGTCGCTCGGTCCGGGGACCTGACCAGAGGTCACGGCTGGCCACCTCCGTGTCGCTCGGTCCGGGACCTGACCAGAGGTCACGGCTGGCCACCTCTGTGTTGCTCGGTCCGGGACCTGACCAGAGGTCACGGCTGGCCACCTCGCTGTGTCGGTCCGTCCGGGACCTGACCAGAGGCCACGACCGGCCAACTGGCTGTGTCGCTCTGTCCGGGAACTCTCCCTCTTGCGGGGGCCCCGGGACTCTCCCCTCCGGATACGGGCCGGCGCCGCACTGCTGCGCAGGCCGACTCGGGAGCACACTGCCAGCAGCCACTCTCGCTGAGCGAGAGCGCACAAAACCGGTCGGCCGCACCGCCCGGACCGGTTTTTGCTTAAAGCTTGCCTCGACTTTGTGACCGCAGCCGCAACTATGATGCTTGTCGCATTTTTCATAGAAACGTTACACTGAGGTTATTGCTGGACAATTCATGTAACGTTCCTTGCCATGTGTTTTGCTCTTTGCTCGAAAGTTGTTTGGTAAAATATTGGCGGAGAACAAAACGAGGACTCAGAAAAGCAATGCTCCTGGTGGTCTTCATGGCGGGCTCTCCTGCGTTTTTATCCTGCCGTCCATCGTGTGTGGATGCTGGTCCTTGCTGTTAGTCGGTACCCGAAATTCACAGCCGGTCATAATTCCGCCAGTTCTCTAAAGCAAATGTATTCATGTGTGGGGGACGTTAACCCACTAAGCGTGAGAAGCTCACGCGACTGTTGGAGCAGGGTCGTACTCGTCCTCACGACTTGGGCAGCCCTCATGCAGTGATCCGATGGTGTGATCCCGTTGCTGGGAATTCGGCGCCAGCGGCGCAGCCTCTGACTGTGCCTGCGGCTGCTCTGTCAACAACAGTCGGTGCTGTGTGTGACGCTGCTCGGCGCCCAGGTGGTCGGTGAACCTGATGAACGGTGGACTGGACGGGGACATCGCTCTGCACATCAACCCTCGCCACGACTTGGGCCACGTCGTCAGGAACTCAAGACTGGTACGGCGTACATATGCAGATATACATATATAGACCGTATACATATATGAGACCGCTGATGGAGAACATGTCCGACCGGGGAGGCAATCGATGCTGAACATTGGCGGACCACGCAGTGTCAGATATACAGGCTATGATGTCAGGAAAAATATAAGGTGCTGTTTTCAGTTATTTTAGTGACTTTCTATCCGCAGTATACTATGTCTGTAGATCCGCGGATTCAAAGAGGGCGTTCAAAAACGACATGGCGGAGAGGTTGGAAACACCTAGATGGCAGGGTGCTGTTTTTGAAACAGACGTGTACTTCTTGTCAAAAGGGTCAAGAACACGAAATTTAAGAAGCGCGCACAAACAGTAAGTATGAAAAATGTAAATTGAATAGCCGCGGAAATGGTGACGAATGCTCATGACTATGTAGACGAATGACGAAATTCATGAGAACTGCGCGACAAGAATGAAATTATGTGGAAGCTATGGTTCCAGATGCACAAAAAAACTTGATTGTCTCCACCTGACCGTCGCTTTTCTCACATTTGCCGCGCGAGGATCCTCAGCCCCCTGCTGTCTCAAAAACGGCATCACATGAATGTAACTGAACATCATCGTGAGTCATTTTGGTCGGCAAATCCAGGCTGGCCAGCCAAATTCGCGGATCCGTTATTGCATAACCTGCATGCTATGTATATAAAGCGTTACTAGCACCTTGAATCATACACAAAAACAGCCTACCAGTGGGCAGGAGTTGCTATGTCCCAGCTTAGGCCATACAGTTAAGCCTTGCATGCATAAATCCTAGCCCGCTAGCTCAAGACAACAATGAACCAAAAGACGTGGGATGATGTCCGTCAGTCTAGGGGCTGCGCCACGGGTTTTAAGTTGGGGGGGGGGGGGGGCAGGGAGCCTGCTGGGCAAAGTGAAGCTTCCTCTCAGGAAGGCTTCTGCGCAGTATCGTATTCGGGGGGGGGGGGGGAGGGAGTGGCACCGAAGGCGTGTGCCCCTTATCAAACTGTTGCATGTATAATATACAAGTAAATAGATGTCGACAGTCTTCTCATTATCCAGCAACGGGCCTTCTCATGATTCAGTAAGGAGACTCACTAATCGAACGCAGGGCCTTCTGGTCCAGAAGAGGGCCTCCCAATGCATAAAAGAGCAAACAGGATGCTTGTGATACACGAAAGGGCCCCCAGACCAAACGAAGGGTCTTCGTTATCCCAGAACAGGACATTGCGATCCCGAACCGTGGCCATTTGATGCATGAAAGGAGCTTTCTGTTGTCACGCCAGGTCATTCAATGTAAAAACTGTTCAGTGAAGATTTTCTCGTTTGGCTCACTTTGCCCAGCCTGACGTGGGATCACTTGAGCCATTGTATTTTTATAGAACCGCATCATCATTAAGTACTGGCGATGCAACGAATCAAGGTCGGAAAATCGTTTAAAGCGTGTTTTCTACGATAAACGTACTTAAATGGGCGCCACGGCCTGAGATTCAGCTTTCGTGACCTCGGCAAAAAATGATGACCTCATTGCTCGTGGCCTGTAACTGGCACTTGGTAGTGTGCTTAAATGTTCCCACTTACGCACAGCAATGCTGGAAATGTAACTTTTGAAAGCTCCAACGCCGAACGCTGGCGTTTTTCAAGTGATTCTTTGGTAATCTCAGGGGCACGTCAGCGCATGTTTTACAGAACTGTCACCAAATGTAAGCCCGGGAACTGGGGTAGATGCACAGGAGCTCGTTCGCTTTCTTTACATAAAACGTCCTGGAAAAAGTCGAGGTCTTTTTTTCATCTATTTATACACACACACACACACACACACACACACACACATATATATATATATATATATATATATATATATATATATATATATATGTGTGTGTGTGTGTGTGTGTACATGTATAAATAGATGAAAAATAGACCTCGACCTCGACCTCGACCTCGATATATATACATGCATTATAATCCATCCATATCATTCGTAAATGCTCGCAAAATGAGTGTGCCTTGCTCTGTTCTTGAAAGACGGCATTGCTCTGCACTACACATGTTGTATATTCTTTGATGGGTTACCTGTAGCACATCGCCGTCATGCATATGCATATCACAGCTGTTTTTGTTTTTTGCAATTCCATGGATTGTTAAGAAAGGTAACTGCTCCAAGTTTTATTTTTGCGTGATAGGCTTGGTTTTTTTCGATGCGCGTATTGGGGAATCTTTATTCTGACCGCGCAGCTGTTGCGCGTAGATGTCACAGTGAAATGACATTTGGACGTTTCGACATTTGATTGGATGCCATTTCGCGTTTGGTCGCAGCTTGGCTACAGGCAGGGAGGCGACATAGCAACAGCTTGGCTACAGGGGGGCGACATAGCAGCAGGCCCGCCATCCATCATCCCACGTCATTGTGTCAGTCCTGCCGGAGCTTTTGTGTCAGCGGCCTTGACGCCTGGCGAGAGCCATGTTTTGTGTGCGGTGTGTGCCCACTTGGAATGTCCGTGAGACCGGGCGTATTCGAATGCGACGCACCATCGAATTAACATGTCATTTATGAGAACCGGACAAATATTGACGGCCGCTGTTTGACCAAAGAGTGGCGGCGGCGCCGGCACCTTCGAGTGTTGGTAGTCGGCATGGCTGTGTTTGCTGCCTCCAGAGCGGCGCCTGGGGGCGGGAGGAGCTGTGCGCCACGCCGCCCCTGCCGTTCGCGCCCGGCCAGGACTTCGAGCTGGTGATCTTCTGCACGGAGAGCTGCTATCTGGTATGCGGCGTTTCCAGTTTCCTCTCGCGCTGGCTACGTCCTGCTATCGCTCAGGTTCATGCATGCCACAGAGAAAGGCAAGATTGTGGCTGCATTCGAGATGTTTGTATTGTTGGCGTTCTCATCCGCAATCACAAAGTTAGGCCGACATACAGCGTACCATGATCTTCGTGAAAATGGATTCGAATTACGAATTGAAAATAGCGAAGGAAATGAAATGTTTCCCTATGGATTCCCTTCGGAGCTGATAAAAACTCGAGCAATCTGGTCAGAAGCCCTTCCCAGTTCCTTCTGCATGCACGAATTCTTGTTTTAAATTGCGGCCGTTTTGATTTTTTCCGACTTATTTTGTTTACACCCCAGACTAGCACCCGTCGTCGATTTGATTTCGTCATGGCGTTTTTCGGGAATCGATTTCTCAGAAAATTGTCAGGAAAAGCGTAAAACTAAGCGGCACAGGTAAAGGGAGTCGTATTTCCAACGCAGCGTTAGGAAGCCTTTTTCTGCAAGTACAGATAAGACGTACACCTCTAATGACCTGACTCAACCCTTTTGACCACCCCTTGCCCACTGGCTGCGCTCAAAGCTGCATACAAAGGGGTCGGTGAAGCCACCGAACACAAATATTCTAGGTCAACCTGTCTTCACTTGCTGATCCTGATCATCACTTGCTGATCGTATTGGCAATACGTTTTCGTGCCGAATAAAACACATTTGTGGAACCGCGAAAATTATTGGTTCGGAAATGTGTTCAGTGGCGAATAATGTGAGCAATGAAGCTCAGTCGGACGTGTTTGAACCATGTGTCTTGGTTCCTGCGGACCGCCGGCCGTCGTCCGCCCGGCTGACCACTGCCCCCACCGTCTGCCCGGCTGACCACTGCCGCCGCCGTCTGCCCGGCTGACCACTGCCACCGCCGTCCGCCCGGCTGACCACTGCCCCTACCGTCTGCCCGGCTGACCACTGCCACCGCCGTCTGCCCGGCTGACCACTGCCGCCGCCGTCTGCGGGGCTGACCACCGCCCCCGCCGTCTGCCCGGCTGACCACCGTCCCCGCCGTCTGCCCGGCTGACCATTGCCGCCGCCGTCTGCCCGGCTGACCATTGCCACCGCCGTCTGCCCGGCTGACCATTGCCACCGCCGTCTGCCCGGCTGACCATTGCCACCGCCGTCTGCCCGGCTAACCATTGCCGCCGCCGTCTGCCCGGCTGACCAATGTGTCTGCCGTCTGCCCGGCTGACCACCGTCCCAGCCGTCTGCCCGGCAGACCACCGCCCCCGCCGTCTGCCCGGCTGACCACCGCCCCCGCCGTCTGCCCGGCTGACCACCGCCCCCGCCGTCTGCCCGGCTAACCACCGTCCCCGCCGTCTGCCCGGCTAACCACCGTCCCCGCCGTCTGCCAGGCTGACCACTGCCCCCGCCGTCTGCCCGGCTGACCACTGCCCCCGCCTTCTGCCCGGCTGACCACTGTCCCCGCCGTCTGCCCGGCTGACCACTGTCCCCGCCGTCTGCCCGGCTGACCACTGTCCCCGCCGTCTGCCCGGCTGACCAGCCGCCCCCGCCGGCGGACCACCTGACCGCCTAACTGCCGCCGCCAGATGTCGGTCAATGGCCGTCACCTGGCGTCGTTCGCGACCCGCTCGGCGCTCTCGGCCGTGCGCACGCTGCACGTGGATGGCACGGTCCAGCTGACCGGGATCGAGTACTCGGACGGCGTGAAGCAGTACCCGCCGCTGCCGGCGCCGGCGCTGGCGCTGGCCGACCGGCCTGGCGGCGGCTACCACGCCGACAAGCCGGTCAGTAGAAGCCGGCCGGAGACCACTGCTGTTGGGGTCTCCTGACGGCGGAGGAGGGGGTGGCAGGGGGCGTGGGGGCTTGGGCATCCTGACCGACCGACGGGGCCCTGGATGTTCTGACCGGTGAGATGGTCTCGGAGTATCGTGGCCAGAGTGCGATCGGGCACAGCCCTCGCCGCGGTATGGAACTCACGTGGTCGCTACAAACCGAGCTCGTCACTGGTGAGGGTAAGCTGGGCGGATTCCAAAGCTTTGTGAGTCCATCCCAGTTGGAGTGTGGGAGTTAACGTGAGGAGGCCTGGACACTCACCTGCATCCCTCCGCCATGACTCACGTCTTACGAGTCGAGCGAACGCTTAGCAAATTTGGGCACAAAGACAGTGGATTGCGGTTGGGGGCTTCACCAGCGACACAGCCCGGTTACCGCAGCGGCTTCATCGAAAGAAAAGCTTTTGACTGCCGCGGTTATCACATCGGCCTCGTCGAAAAGTTATTGACCGCCAGTAAAAATAAATAATCCGAAATTTGAGTCACACACGGCACCAGGTTTCTCAATCGGAAGTAGAAATTCATGCCTAGTCTGTGCTCGTAATATCGTAAATGCGATGCACTTTGTCACGCGAGGAAAAATGTCACGAGTGAGCTCTGCTGCTGTGACATCTCGCGCTGGACGAGTCCAGTTGACGTGTGCGCCTGGCCGCCAGACTCCGCGAGTGCGCCGTTGCGGTGAGCCCTGTGCCACGCCGTCAACTGTGCTGTGTGTGACAGCCGTGTGCCACGCCGTCAACTGTGCTGTGTGTGGCAGCCGTGTGCCATGCCGTCAATTGTGCTGTGTGTGGCAGCTGTGTGCCACGCCGTCAACTGTGCTGTGTGTGGCAGCCGTGTGCCACGCCGTCGACTGTGCTGTGCTGTGACAGCCCTGTGCCACGCCGTCAACTGCTGTGTGTGGCAGCCGTGTGCCACGCCATCGACTGTGCTGTGTGTGGCAGCCGTGTGCCACGCCGTCGACTGTGCTGTGTGTGGCAGCCATGTGCCACGCTGTCGACTGTGCTGTGCTGTGACAGCCCTGTGCCACGCCGTCAACTGCGCTGTGTGTGGCAGCCGTGTGCCACGCCGTCGACTGTGCTGTGTGTGGCAGCCATGTGCCACGCTGTCGACTGTACTGTGCTGTGACAGCCGTGTGTCACGCCATCGAGTGTGCTGTGTGTGGCAGCCGTGTGCCACGCCGTCGACTATGCTGTGTGTGTGGCATCCATGTGGCATGCTGTCGACTGTACTGTGCTGTGACAGCCGTGTGGCACGCCGTCGACTGTGCTGTGTGTGGCAGCCGTGTGCCACGCCGTCGACTGTGCTGTGTGTGTGGCAGCCGTGTGGCATGCTGTCGACTGTACTGTGCTGCGGCAGTTATGTGTCGCACCATCGACTGTGCTGTGTGTGGCAGTCCTATGCCACACCGACAGCTGTGCTGTGTGTGGCAGCTGTTCCCGTGCCGTCTGCCCGAGCCGATGCAGGAGGGAGGCGTTATTCAGCTGACGGGACGAGTCCGCCTCCTGCCCTTCTCGTGAGTCCCCGGCGTGGCACAGACACGATGGGAATAACCCTGCGGTTGATAAGCTGCCAAGCGAACAACTGACCCACATAGAACTGGTGCCCGGTATGTGGCGGAATTACAAAAATGGAAGAAGGCAGTGATTCCGACAGTATCTACCACTGAGTTTCCGTCGGGACGCTGCCGCCAGCCTGTCACGCGTGTGAGAAGCCAGATAAGGCTTTTCAGAAGCCTCGTGCTTGGCTACGCCACCGGCAGACCGACGTCAGTACACCCGCTGTATACTGCACGCCTTACAGAGCGCAGTGCTCCCTGCGCTCTGCGACTGCTGGTGCATGGTAACGAATGTTGCGGGATGAGTGTCCAGAGCCGCTCAAAGGCTGAACGGTCGGGAGACGTCACGTTGCTGCACTTGTGACAAGGGGCTCTGAAGTATGTTTTCACTGCAACCAGATGAAACAGTGTCAATGGCCTCGTTCCTCATAGAATAAACAAGAAAATAGATGTGACATCCCGGCCACGTGCCTTTATCGAAACGAATATAAACATAACGAATAAACTCTACGAGGAATAAGGCTATCAGTGCTGTCTTAGCTATATGCATAACGTTCTCGCAAACGCACTTAACGACTTACGTCATTGTTGCTGGGTCTGCTTCGTTATGTCGCTTCTGATCTTCAGGTTTTTCGTGAACCTGCTGCACGGCAGCCAGCTGTTCCCGGAGCCGGACATTCTGCTGCACTTCAACCCGCGCTTCCAGGTTAGAGAGGCCGGAGAGGCTGGGAGGCGCACGCGCAGACTGTGGGACGATTCGCCATGGGCGGCTGGCAGCACGGTCAGCGGAAGGGACACATCACTTAGTCGTTGGTAAACGTAATGATATTTCCGCAGCTGGGTGCTGAGGAGGGTGGTACGAGGCCATGACTGACCCGAATAGTTCGCATGCATGGTGCATTGCAAATGCAGGATGTGGTCAGAAACCACCCAAGCTACCTGCTCAGATCTGCGCCGACCTGCACGTGAAATCACTGGTTTCCAGCTCATCTCTCCCGGGTACATATAATCTCTTCTCTCTCCTCTCTCCCCTCTCCGACCCCGCCGGAGCTGGTTGTCGAAGGTCAACAGGAGCTTTGCGATGTCAGGCGTTCGAAAGACGCATACACATGCTTGAAATGGCAGTGGAGCTAGGGACCGGATACACACATCGTGCCTAACGTCGAAGTGAGGTGCCAGTCGAACGAGTCGTTGCGGTGTTGTGGACACATCCCGATGTGTCTCCCCCTCCCCCATCCGTACCCAGGCCCCAGGACCTCGACCCGTGCAGCGCGGCTCGGTCACGGGGTCCAGGATGGAGTTCATCCGGTCTGTCCCCCGCCCCCCATCCGGGCCCCAGGACCGCGTTGCGACGGTGCTGGGCGCCTGACCTGCCGCCGCGCGGCCTCTTCACAGGCTCCTGGGAGTGGTCCCGCTGTTGATCCTGACGCTCTGGACTCATCTCCAGACAACTCCGACCGTGTCACGTCATACCTGCTCTGGTCACAGTGTCTGCTGTCTGCTGTCTGCTCACCCCCCCCCCCCCCCCACATATACACACCACACCATGCCACCATAGCGCAGACCCGACATCCCATCCCGTTGGCGTTCGCTTGATTTGGTATGAGTTTATTCGTGAGGATACCAGCGGTAAGCATGCAGTCTTTCTAGTCATAAGTCAACTGGAATTTACCATGTTGTTCAAAACCGCCGCTGCTCCGAAGCCAGAAAAGCAAGAAGCACATTTTTTGTATCAAAACACGCGCAATGGATGCTCCACAGGCTAATGAAAAGTTGGGGATCGGTTTCACAACATGTCGGGAGGTATCCTCAAAAAACCTATATGGTTGCATCTCCTTGTCAGGGCGGGGGTTATCAGATATTGGTCAAAATTGTTAACCAAATTTGGCTTTTCCGCACGGCCCACAGCGATTGGGACATGACTGTTGTTTTATGAAACCCGTGTGGGAGTTGTTGCCTGACTTGGCAGCGTAGACACCCTCGTTACTGACGATTTCCGTGGTGATTACCGCTAAGCATCTACATATTCGAGTCGTCGAACTAACCTGTATTTCAGGACGGCCCTGACCGGGTCATGCGCTCAGCTGTTCCCCGTGTCGCCAGGTGCTGGACTGTTTTGAGGTGATCGTGGCCAATTCGCGAGTGGCCGGCTGGGGTAAGGAGCAGATCGTCCAGGACTTCCCGTTCCGGGCAGGACGACACTTCGTCATCAGGTGCCCTCGCCAGTCACCACTAGGTCGTTCAGGGCGCACGTCCGCTGTTTCCGTAACGGAACTCCTGGCGTGGTGTAAACAAACGGGCTTTCCAGATGGATGTTTTTTCGTCTGATTCCGTTATTGCTGCCGCTGGTGAGTCATCCGGTGATATTCTGGCTCGAGGCTTTGTGATTCATCTGTCTCAAATAAGAACCCATCGTGTAGCTGGTATAGTCTTACTTGTATATCACTGACTCATGGAAATCTTCAGCTGACCTCTGTGTGAATTACTTGGCCGGACAACTAATGAAAGGCCAGATGACGCACATCTCACGACAGCGATGTGAGCATTTAGGACGCCTTTTCCACGGCTGGAGCCACGTTGGACAGCGATCGCCTCCTCTCCGGCTGACCGCGATCTCTGTATATCTGCAGGATTGTCTGCCAGCCAGGATCCTGGGACGTGTTCGTCGATGGGCGACTTCTTCTGAAGTTTCCGCACCGGCTCTCCAAGAGCCTGCTGGACGCCGTGGAAGTCCGGGGCGACGTCATCGTGGAGTCGGTGCATTTCGAACCCAATTCCAAGGATCTCATTCAGTTCTAGGACTGGACTGCTTACAGCTGGTCACGCAAATGCCGATTTTCTGTCCACGTTTTTCAGGGTTGGAATAATATTGAGCATTGTACGAGTATGTATGTCTATTTGACGTAAGTGAACATGTTATCGTGGTGAGATATGAAGTACCCTCCAAGTTGGCTGTTTGAACAACGTACTGGTGCCTGCGCCGAACGGCTAACGGAAAACAATGAGCCTTTCATTCGTACCCACGTGGGCGCAACTATTGCAGATTAGGTGCGGGATGCTATGCGCGAAGGAGGCTGCACTCTTAACCGACTGACGGCATTCGCCCCATGCATATAGAATAATCGTGATCTCGGTTTACGTGGGGCGCCCATTTCGCCAAAGCACGGGCATGTTGAAAAAAGCACGGGCATTTGTGACGTATTGTGGCGATGCGCCATGGAAGCTCGGTTCCCTTGGGTTACTTAGAACCGCCATTTTGTTAAAGCGCGTTTAAGTTGTGTCGCCTGCTTGGTGAACGTGCTTTCGATCCTTCAAGCTTGCACATGGCCCGCTGAGCGGGTCATGTGTAGGTTTGATTTCCATTGAGACCGCGCAGCATGTGCGCCGGCCCCAATTTCCGCATCTTGCAGTATGACTGGCACGTTTTGTGAGTGGTAGGGCAGCCTGCGGGGTCTAGTTCAAGCTTGGCTGTCCTGACCTGGGCGTGACAGGAACAGTACGCACTGTTCTGTGTCTGGCATGCCCTGACACGCCAAGCGCCGTGGTTCGTAAATAAATGTCTACCAGATTGGTGTGTTTTTAACAACGCTCACGAAGTTTGCAAACATAGATACCAACGTAAAGCATCATTGTTACATGGACACCTACTCCCGTCAAGGTGTCACGAAAACTGTGCTTATTGATAGTTTTTGCAGAATTTAGCCGATAATTGAAGATTCCGCTCTACCAATCACGAGAGAGTGAAGGGTGTGACATCTCACGGAATGATGACCGCCGGCGATCACTAACTCTGAGGTGAGGAATGAATTCTCTAGCAAACGTGATGGTGCTGATTAACACGATGCCCTAAACATAATGTGTTTTTTGTTTTCATGAGGATGCTTTGGTCCATTTGCATCATCAGTGCTTGATATTTTGTATAGCGTTTTATTTTCATCTGGTGCCACATGGTGACTGGAATCTGTGTACTATTTGCGCAGGGGGCGTCTGTCTTAGTGTCGATGTGGGTGTCGGTGTCGGTCTAGGCCTGGGTCTCGGACTCGGACTCGGACTCGGACTCGGACGCGGTCTCGGTCTCGGTCTCGGTCTCGGCCTCGGCCTCGGTCTCGGTCTCGGTCTCGGTCTCGGTCTCGGTCTCGGCCTCGGTCTCGGTCTCGGCCGCGGTCTCGGTCTCGGTCCCGGCCTCGGTCTCGGTCTCGGCCTCGGTCTCGGTCTCAGTCTCAGTCTCGGTCTCGGTCTCGGCCTCGGCCTCGGTCTCGGTCTCGGCCTCGGTCTCGGACTCGCTCTCGCCTCGGTCTCGGTCTCGGCCTCGGTCTCGGTCTCGGTCCTCAGTCTCGGTCTCGGTCTCGGTCTCGGTCTCGGCCTCGGTCTCGGTCTCGGCCTCGGCCTCGGTCTCGGTCTCGGTCTCGGCCTCGGTCTCGGTCTCGGCCTGTCTGTCTGCCCAGCAGTGCCTTCATATGACAATGCGATCACAAGGTGGGAGCGGTAACCGACCGCTTCCGTCAAGCCTGCTAACGATTCGGTCCATAATGCAACACGAAAGCTGACTTTCAGATGAGGCTTATCTCCCATGATCCAAATCGTCCCTGGAAGTCAGCACATCACATCCGGTTCCTGTGAGACATGCCGCAGTCGGAGGTTGGGTCAACCAGGAAATGCTATGAAAAATGCCAATGCATCCTGAAATAATGCAAACACAAATCGCCCATGGAATGTAGCAGGCCTTTTCATGCGCTTTCAATATGTCGGCTTCGTCGCCCCGCGAAATAAGCCCGCAGACACTTGTCTCGTGCTAAACCACTTATTGAAAATATTGTTTTCCTTGATAAATTGACTTGATTAGACAGCAGGTGGAAGATGACTTATGCAACAGGTGTGATTCCAGACACTCGCACTGTTGCGGGACATTTTCTGCTCCAAAGACCGCCATGATCTAATTGACATACCCCGTTCACAGGCGTCAAAAGGCGTCTAGAAATGCCACGAGATTGTTGGTGGTTGGGCCACCACCCTCGCATGCTGACAGCGTTCCAAAATTCATTCAGGGGGAGGGGGCGGGGGGGGAGATGTGAATGTAAATTGATGCTACCAGAATCTTTGCCCTCTAGCGACCCCCGCGCGCAATTCGTTGGTGCTAATCCGTTGCCCTTTGACTCCGCGCCCAAACATCTGACCTGCCCAGCCCATTTGTCAAGCATGCGGCGCTAAGATGCTGGGTTAACCACCGCCCTTTCGATGCTGATTGGCTGATTTTGAGCAAGGGGAAGGGTGGCAGGGAGTGAACCCCAAGCCGGGGTTGTCATAGCATGAAAATATCGACAGCCTTGTCAGTTAAGCGGCCGAGTATGAGCCACTGTGGATACGTCATGTGCAATCCTGGTATCACTCGTCCGTTGGCTGCAAAGGTTGGCCCTTGTGCTACCCACAGCCTACACCAAAGCGACCCAATAGCGCCTACGCTTGACGAGGATCGTCGCAGACCTCATCGCGGTCATAGACGCCCGCGCACCCCTCGGTCATGCCCACGCCGGTACCACCTCCGGTTCCCAGGCCGTCCCACGGCCAGGCCCTTGGAAACGCGTCGACGTTTGCAAGCCACTAGCCCAGCTTGCGGTTCAACACCCGCTGTGCAAGCCTCTCGGCCCGATCCTCTTTGAGAACCCCTGGCTGGACAGTGGTGTTGTGGCCGTTGCTACCCACCAGCTCCCGGCGCCAAACAATCGGCATGTTATTAACAGTCGGGACATTTTTAGCCTTTTATTATAAGTCGTTAGTTCTAGTGAGATGCTGAAACCTGGAGCATTTTCAACACGGCGGACAGCACAAAGCCAGTACC